CATATATTTATATATAATAGTTATATTAGTATATATAAATATACAACATACTTAATAGAAGATATGTATAAAGTATTATATTTCAAAATACAACTAAATATACATAAAATATACAAAATTATCAATATTCATAAAAGAAAATATAAAATAAATTGTTTATTTTTTGTGTTGTTCACTAAAAAAAAGAAGGACATTTATACCAGAACTATCATAATTCCAGTAGATACATACAAAGTTAACACACACATGCATCACAAAGAGAGTAGCCACCAAAAGGTACACAATTTGACGCAATCGATTGAAGCAATAACTTACCTCTACGGCAGCGACAACCCTTAATACCCTCTCTAGCGAAGCCCTTTTCACGCAGCGAAAGCCACTTCGTCACACAACCCCTGGATTAACCTCCCTCGGCAACTAGAAGCTCTGCCCACGCCGCGACACCAACCCTAATGCAGTGACAACACCTCATGACGCCGCCAAACCACCGTCGTAAAGAAAGAGGAGCTCGACAAAGTGAGAAACGATGGCAATAGGTTTTAGATTGTGAACGACAGAGGGAGACAAAGATTAGGGTAGGGGGGAGTAGAAAGCGGGGACCTGACAAATTGGGAGTGAAAGTTTGGGGGAAGCTTTCATAGAGAGAGTATTTGGGAAAATGGAAGAGGGAAATCCCAAATTCTGATTTCATTAAGTAAATGCCTATACTAACAACCAAAAGCCTTCGATAAATTCGTTGCCCAATACCGAAGGGCAAAAGCCTTCGGTAATGACCATCTTAAATGACCGTCACGGAAATCCTTCGGTATATCAATTTTACCAACGGCCAAAAGGCCTTCGGTAATAATCCTTCGGTAATCAGCGCATTTCTTGTATTCTTCGACTTACATTTATATTTGTCGTATCCACACATACATAATACAATTATAACATATTATTATATAAATATCAAATATAGAGACAAGTTATTCAAATAAATTTTAAACATGGGAAAATATTTGTAACAAGAAAATGAATTAATTACTAATTTATAAATAATTTAATTTCAATTAAACATAATGACAAAAATCATATAAATCAAACAAATTTTGTACTAAAAACTAATATATGATCTAATTTAATATTTAAAAAGCCGAATATAATGATATGTTTCACAGATAAGAGAACCATCACATGGTATAACTTGAATATTTAGTATGATTTGAGGACAAAATACAAAATTCAAAAAAGATACAAGTTGTAAATGGAACATTTGCACAATCCCATTAGTGATCATCAAACGTCCCAACTAATGCGAGAAAGCTTCTTGTGAGATTTTTGTCCTTCAATTGCACCATTTGATAATCCTTAGAAAACTTTATTGTCAATTGTTCATAATTTGTTAGTATTAGCCTTATAATAGTAATCCACTGTACAAGTTCCATTTTTCTCAATGTAAAACAAACAGGTCAATTAAGAATTTGGACATCCCTAGATGTAATGGAACTTACCTGCAAACAAATGACCAAGAGAGTCGTCACTGTTGCCAATAAGAACCCTTGCATTGGGACCACTTGCATACCTAAGAACCCATCTTTTAAATCTTGTATGAAATTGCTAATGTTCCATTATCAACTAAAAGTACAAAAAATGAAGAATTGATGTGGTCCAAAAAAATGCAATGTACATGGAATCGAATGACCCAATAACACATTAAAACTAATTTTGGCTTAAATGTTATCTAGTGGATCAAATGTGTCGATTTGAAGCTTAAGTTTCATATTGGAATAAATAGGTCAAATGTCCCTTTGCATTTCTAGGTTCAACAATAAACAACATTAATTGTATCTTATATTTGTGACTAGGTTTGTACTTGTCATCACAATAGTAGCATAAACCATTCTTCCTTTGATTTTGCTATTTCGCAACAAAGAGTTGTTTAATGGGTGAGAAGTTTATGTTTGGATTGAATTTGTGAGGGAAAGAGGGGTTTTTGATTAATTAAGGTTTTATATGAAGGTTTTATAAAAAGACATTATACTGATTACCAATTGCATAGCCAATGTTTGGTATAATTACCCAATATTTTGCATTAGCTTGTAAGGATTGAAAGAAATTGTCATGAAAGAAAAAAGAAACAAATACTATATACAGTGTGAAATATAGGAACATGTACTGTTGATTGTGACTCCACTAGCAAAGACCTCCTCAGTTTTTCAAGTTGTTCATAACTTTCCACTAGTGTTGCATATTCATCATCCACTGACCAAGTTCTTTATAGAGATCATATCGAATAAGGGACCATGACTCTTCCCTCAATCTCAATGATGCAACAATGCATCTATACCCACAATGATCGTTAATCAAGACATCAACACATCGAGAATGTATATATGGGTGACAAATAGGATGGAACTGCTCTATCATGGGTACTATCATTCATTGCACATATTTTTCCTTAGATTGCAATTGGTTTTTCCTAGATGAAGAATATTTTTTGAGTGCAAGACGTCTACATGCTTAAAATGTGACAGTTCATGCTTTGTAGACCTTTCAGTTCGCTGAACTTTACTCTTTTGTGCACCCTTTGTCTTAACTTTATGCAATGGAGGTACCACAAATGTCATTGCAGGATAAATAATTTCAAGTAACTTTTGCTTGATGTTGACTTTACCTTCAATTTCAACCTATTTGAATCATTCTTGAACCATATAAAGTTCACGATCAATAGATAACTGGTTGAGATTCATTTTATATAATATTTGAAAAAATCAATCTAGTCCACATGATATGAACTTCAACCAAAAGAATTACCCTAGGGTCATATCGTGCTAATTCACATGCATAGGGTAGACCTACATCCGTCTCAATATGTAGCCACAACTTCCCCTAACCAATCTTATATGCTATACTCATTCCAATTCTTTAGTAATGAGTTCCAAAGCATATTTGGATACATACCTAACAAGTATTCTGTATCTGATTCCTTTAAAAGCTTCAGTCATAAGATTCATATCTTTCTTAAAGGATGTCCTTATCTTATTATATTGGAGGATAATGACGTATGAATATCATCCCAACAAGAACAAAGATCTCCCATACCGCTACCTAAAACTTCCTTAAGGCTCAAGTGAGTAGACTTAACCTTGACAGAAATGACGTCAACAATATCATAAAATATTTAACAAAAACAACTAAGTAAAATAACATTAAAACATACCTATTTGTTGTTGTGTTTTATAAATGCATAACTTTGTTTGTCCAGGCCTTTACAAAGTATGACTTACATGGAATAATCCAAATATGATTCACGTATTCAAAGAACAAAGGCCATGAATTGCAGACATACTAAAGGTGATTCACATACTCACCAAACATGGACTCTTATTCACAACCCATGACGTTTTCCCATGCTTCCATGACCACATGCTATGTCTCAACAAAATCAACTAACATTTTGCACTTAGCTTTGAGATTTTTCAGAATATGAAAACGACATATCAATTGATAAGACTCATGGAATACATTGGCAATGACATTCATCAAAGTCAAATCTTTGTCACTAACAATGACTTGTGAATCACCCTCATATGTCATAAATAAACCTCTCAACCTTTTCAAAGCTCAAATGAAATTATTTTTGTCGAAATGCAAAAGCTGTTAAGAAGGTCAATCTTGTAGATGTCACACCAACAATCTCTAGCAAGGGCAACCGATATTTGTTTGTCTTGTACGTCTAAGTTTGTTAATAGAACAAAAGAAAGAACTTCACAAGTTCTCATATTTCTTTGTATTATATTAATCCTCTCATTGAGAGTTATCAAAATCTGCACTTGTAAACCAACACTGATTGTATTTGGAAATTCTGAAGAGAATTAAAAAATTTGTATTATTTAGCTCAAGAGAGTTAAACTTTCTAGACAATTGTCTAGGATTGATACCAGAAGTGATTAAAATACTTGAATCTAAAAGTGGTTAAACTTGGACTAGTCAAGATTAATTGGGAGACCAAAATTTGTAAGAATACTCATTGTATACTAGAAGTGAGTTTTCAAACAGTATTTCTTTTAAATAAATCATATTGCAGAGTTTTAGTACACCATTTAGAGTGGTATTGAGATGGTTTATTAATTCCACACTTTTTATTTAAATTTCATGTCGAAATAATAAAGTTTAATATTTTCATTATGTTGTGATGATATTTGTATTTTTCTTAAACAATACGTGATTTTTTACTTATACGTAACATCTAAATCGAAATCGATGTGTTGTAGTTAGACATTAGGAAATTTGATAAACAGTGATTACAGATTACCAATATAATTTATTTATTTTCTCTTAAATTTATTGATATTTGGATATTGAAGATGTAAAAAGAAATGGTTGGAGGTGCGAAGAGAAACTTACTTCATGTAGGAGTGTTCTGAAAAATTTATTCCCAAATGTATTATATGTATTCCAAAAATTCCATTGCGTAAAACTAATTTTGGAATACATATTATTCGTTTTGGAACTTCTGTTCCGAGAATTGAATTCCAAAATTTCTGTTCCGGAAATTTTGTTTCTGAAATCTTATTCCGAAAATTCTTAAATATTTTCAAAATATATATTTCGGAAATCACTTCTACACAAATTAAAATGGTTATTTTGAAAATTTGATGGAAGTATACACAGAAAAACCGTGGGAATGCAGGAAGTGAAAGCCTCATGTAGACTTTAGTTATGTAATTGGGTCGCTCTTCTCGCAGGAGTCCTCAAAACTCACTGAGTAATCATTTTTACTTGAGCCTGACAATTTTCTTATGATTTTTTCATCATAATTTATAAATTAATCTAAAAATCCCAATAACCTTTTAGTGTGAAAATTATTAACACAGAACATAATAAAGAATACATGCTTGACATCTATCCAGAGCACAACAAAGTGATGGCTCAATTAAAATGTCATATCTTCAATTTGTTAGTTATTTGTTTTATGCAATGGATAAATGTAGTGAGGTATAGGATAAATAAAAGAAGAGTGAAAATATAGATATAAATATATAATAGAAAACAGAACAAAGTTACAAGACACACCATTCGCATAAGAAGTAACAGAGGCAGGAAGATGACCAAGAAAGTCATCACCTCCAATTACCACTTTACACACTCACATAGCACAGATTCAAGAACAGAATTACGTGCTAAATTTATTCTTCAACTCTCTTTTTTCACATCACAGACAAACACTGTTCTCACACCAGAGAACATAACTCATTCACTCTTCCATGCGGATCAAACACCTTATTCCCTCCCCTTTCAGCATAAGGTCAAATGCCGTGTTGATCTCTGAGAATGGCACACTGTGAGTGATAAGTTTCTCCAGTTCCAGCTCCTGCATTATCATTAAAACTCATTCTCATTTCATGCACAAATTATTCAACAATCTTCAACTTACTATTTCATATTAATAGATGACTAAATACATTATCTAGTTCTATGATTACCTTGTTCAGGTACTTCTCCACAACACCAGGAATATCAGTGCGGGGTTTGAAGTGGCCATAGAAGGTACCCTTCAGAGTTCTTCCTTCCATGAACTTCATCGGATGAGTTTTGAATTCAGCATCCTTGTGTGGAACACTAACAAGTACAGCAACACCCCAACCCTGACAAGAAATATTTGAAGTTCATGTTTAATTACAATATCAACTTCATACAGATGTAGCTAGAAACAAGAATAATAGCTCTGGAGTCTGGAAAATACATCATGAGTGCATTCAAATGCTGAGATCGAGGCTTGGATGCTTCCAGTGCATTCAACAGCACGATCGACTCCTCCACCAGTCATTTCAGCAATTACCTTTAGTGCCACATCTCAGCAAGATAGAGAATTAGTCTATGAAATGAAGAATATTTAAATGAAGTGAAAGTTGGAACTACTTGTCTGCATAGTCTGAACTAACCTGTTGAACTGGTTTGTTGTGCTCTTTGGGGTTCACAAAGTCAGTGACCCCAAATTTTTTGGCTGACCAAGAATAACAATGTAATTAGACATTTCATATACTTAAATCTGAATCATAATTAAATGGACAAAATTTATACTATTCTCTATTTAATAATTCTTTAAGGCACTACCTGTCAAGGTAAAAACTATAACACTAGTTAAGGAACAATATCACAAACACTTAAAAGGCATCATTCACATCTATGTCTTGTCCTAATTGAATCTACCTTGTTCAAACCGACTGGAGAGTAAATCAACCCCAATGATTCTCGATGCACCAGAAACCCTTGCTCCTTCACAGGCCTAGAATGCAGAGTACAAGGTAAGAACTGTAGCCATTATAGTTTTCTACATTATTGCAGGAAAAAAAGAAGCAGTGAAGGATATATAACATACAGAAAGACCAACAGCTCCCAAACCAAAGACAGCAACAGTATCATTAGGCTTTGGTTTTGCAACATTTACAGTAGCACCAAAACCTGCATGTACAAAATTGATACACATTAATAAATTCCACATTGTTAGCTTTATAAGTTTAAAGTGTAGAATTATGTGGTTCCACAAAACACAAAATTATTGAATTTAAATTCTCTAGAGTTTTTACTACTATTCCTATGCGGAATTTGATGTGGTAACTAAAAACTTGACAGAGAATATGAAGTTGAAATTAGTACATATCTGACAAACCTGTGCAAAATCCGCAACTGACAACACAAACTTTGTCAAGTGGGGCAGCAGGGTTGATCTTGGCAACACAGCCAGCATGTCTTTTTGAAATTGTTGTTGTTTTTGTTTGTTGTGTTGTAACTTGTTTGTTGTAGTTGTTTGATTGAACTTGTTTGTTGTTTGTTATTGTTTGTTATTATTGTTTGTTGTTGATATTACACTACACGTTCATAGTTCATCTTTATAAAATATCAAAAACTGAAATTTGTTGTTTTTCTGCGTTACAGGTCTCGTAGAGTTGTAAGAAAGGATCACAATTAATTAAAAAAAATTATTAGCGTCGAATATTGACAAAATTTGACGTTAATTTGATAACTTCGAATTGTTTTATGTTCGTCGTCAATTTAATGTCTTCCGATATGATGTCGATCTCGAATTCGACGTGAAAGGCAAAAAATATTCAACGTTGTATGTTGCTTTTGTACTAGTGATTTGGATACTTGAGAATTTTTGAAGGTGGTGTAAGCTGTGTGTATAATAATTTTTTAACCTAAGAAAAGGATAAGGGTAATGATCCATGTCATTCATATAAAGAAAGTGTATAGATATATATCCATGCATAGTTTATGGTTGTTTCGATGGATAGGTTTAGATAAGATCATAGCCAAGTTTGATTGATTTCATCTTGTAGTATCCATATATAACCATGCATATGAGGTTGTTGTATGAGAATAGTCTTAGCTAAGAGCAGAGGCAACTTTGTTTGATTCCATTTTCTTGTGTCCAGTTCCTTAAACTGTGAGATTCTTTCTGCCACTTTCGGACTCATTAATTCAGAAGTTAATTTGTTTTGCACGTTTCTTACTGCTTTAAACAAAAACTGGTTCATTTACTGTAACGACAGAACAAAATTTGACAGGGATATTTTGTTTGCGATGATTTAACTTTAGCTTTGTTAGCAGCTTCATCATTGAATAGGGTATGATTTCTGTCTCTCATCTTCTCTTGTCGCCTGCTGCATAATTGCTTTATAGCTTTTTATATGAATAATTGATTGTTAGGTGGCATTTTATTATCAATTATACTGTTCCAAAATATTTTATTAACAATTGTAAAAAATTCAAAATCTTTATTTACTCCCTCTTTAGCTTTTGTGTGATCACAAATGAACTTAACTCGCAGAATATGGGAAAAGAAAAAAATATAATATTTTTTAAATAAAAAAAGAAAAAAAATTTATGATATTTAAAGAGGATTGAAACATATTTAGACTTATATTAAACATGTATGTAGTTTCCCTTTTTTTGCCAGAAAAATTAAAACATGTATTTTAGATTCTGTAATATATACGATATTTTTATTTTATATAATTAAAATTTATAATAACTTATATTATCGTTTTAAGTTTATATAAATAATAACATGTGTTAAATATACTAAATTTAAATTACTTTAAAATTTATATTACATACTTTGACAAATCTTAAAAATAGTTTTCCTCTTGTCTATATATATCTTTCATTTATTTAGAATGCATTAATAAGGTAAAGATTTAATACACGGACAACTTATGGATAATTTTTATAATAAATTTGATGACGTTTATTATAAATACTTTAAACAATGATATTTTGAATGGTTTGCTATATTTGTCATCATAAAATTATTATAATTTTGAAGTAATATAGATTTTTCCCATGAAGTAGTTTTGTCCAATAAACTTAGTTGATCTAGCTGTCAACTATACTTTCCCTCTGATAAACATTAATTTATTTAAGATATCTTATATAAGAAAAACAAATATAGCTTCTATTAAATAAATAGTTGGAGGGGTAACTATGTTGTAAACATCAAGTCGAATTATTTCAACGTGATCCCAGTTTGATTTTAGATCAACTTGTACTTTCTTTTTGGTGGGACATCTGTAGAAGAAACTTTAAACGAGGGTGCTTGGATAAAAAAGAGGTGATTCGAAGATTAAAGTAATAAGAATATCTAAAGGTGAAAGAAGCGATATAGGAGAAGGTTTAAAGTAAAGGTATAAGGTGTGAGGTTAAACAGGCTAAAGAGGTTTAAACGTAGTCATGTTTAAACGGGGTAAAGGGCGTAGTTCTAGAACAACTATAATAATAATTTGTGAAACATAATCAAAGAGAATCGTCCTTGAAGTTCTTATCCATTCTCATCATAGCTTGATGTGGGCCAACAATTGTCTGATATAATGCACATTCCTTTTCAATTATAGTATATTTTGGTACAAAATTCCAACTTTTTTCCACTATAAATAGAGTATACATCTTCAATGCAAATCATCCTCAAGTTTTCAATCTATAATTTCCTCTTCGAAAAAACAAAAAATTGAAGCCATTGTCTGCTACTGCTGGTTAAAAGTCATCAGGTGCAGAGGTGAGCCATCTCCATTTCTGTTTCTTCAATGTGCTTCTCTGGGTGAAGTTAGGGTTCTCATTTTTTTCTTGAAACCAAATAATAATATGGCAAAATCATTACTTTGGTTAACTTTTAATCTAGTTCTTTTAATTTTATTCTGAGTTTTGGTGTTGGTTTTGATATATTATTGATGTAAAAATGTTCAAAGACGATGAAAGTGCAGAAAGATCAAATTAATAACTAAATTTTACTATCAGGAAAAAGTTGTCATATAATTGAGAAAACTCTATGCTGGAGAATGTATTGTATAAGATAAAATATTAAAATAAATAGAAACATCTAGAGGATGAAACTCTTTTAGTCAACAGTGTGGAGAGATTTAAACTGAAACATTATAATATGTGTTTAAGTGAGTTTATTTATAACTTTTCAAACTTTCTCATCTTTTTAATAATGAGTCTTGTAAAGCCAAAATTTATGACTATGGAGTTTGTCTTTTGATATATCTTAAGATTATAATATTTGTGTATTTATGTTTTTTTAAATGTCAAATAATAAGTAAAATACTATAAATAGTGAAGACAATTTCTCACTTTTGAAGTTGATTCTGAAAAAATGATAAATTATACTTACACTAACTTTTTGATACAATATCAAAATTTATTCTAATGAATTTTGTTGATGTTATTACATCATCCATAAAATTATTCATAAATATTTAATTTTATGTTTGAAATATATGTGAAAAGATGTATTAAAAACTATATATCAACTAAAAATAAGATGTTATTAAAAAGTTGGATACAATATATTTAGTTTAGTTTTATGTGAAATGCAGCTGCGGTGGCATGGGAACCAGAGAAGCCATTGTCGATAGAGACCATAGAAGTGGCACCACCTGGGAAAGGTGAAGTGCGTTTGAAAATCCTCTTCAACTCCCTTTGCCGTACTGATGTTTACTGGTGGGATGTTAAGGTAACTCTTTCTCTTTTTCATTTTCTTTTTCTACTATTATTTCTTAGATCTATAAAATCCCAAAACCAGCTTCTCAAAGTCAAAGCAAGTAATCAATAAAATCTATCTCACCTTTGTTATAAAAAAAATAAACATTTTTGACATATCTTAAATTTGAGCACGTGGGCGACAATGATTGCGAAACGTGGCAAATCGTCACATGCAATGGATAATTATTCGGAGTGAAAAGTAGGACATACCCTCTCAAAAAAGCAACTTTAGACCTCAATGATTAAGATATTCATTCACTCAAAACTTGTTTTATGTTATTGTAATTGTATGGGTTTTCAATTTATTTTGTATCGATCTTATTATTTCATAACACTTTCACTGTATTCTTATAATTTTCACTTTAATACAAAGAGTTTATAAAATTATATTCTGATTAATTTTGTATTTGACTATCGACAAAAAAAATAAACACTCTTAAAATAAATAAAAAGATTTTTTATTATTTAGCATTTGATTTAAAACTCCGCATGTAACAATTTTTTTTATACAACATAATTAAATTATTGAACCTATTTATAATCTTGAAATGTAATTTTAAAACTCAAGATGAATTTAACTTAAAAGAAATTGTGTATACTTTTATTTATTTTATTGAAAAGATCTATTTTAAGGTACTAAAATAAAGATGTACTAAATCTTACGTTACAAGTTATGAATTGACTGTTGGTGTTTCTGTCTGCTAGTATTTATGTCTGTTTCGTTTTGCTTTTCAGGGTCAGAATCCGCTGTTTCCTCGTATTTTAGGTCATGAAGCTTCAGGGTATGATGTTACATTCGTTGAAACTATTTCTCAAGTGATAATTAACTAAAAAATATATTTTTAGTGGATACGAATAAAGATAAGACACGATGATAAGATGTATACACGGTTTTCACATTAAAAGAGTTACAATTTTTCTAGTAAGTTCATCATGTCTTTAAATTTCATTTGTTTTTGACAGATGTTTGGGTTTAATTCATTGATCTAAAATGTGTAACAAGAACGAAAGCAGTGGTTAAAATAGTGTTATTGGACCATGTTTATTATAAATCTTATGAAGAAAAATGAAAAGTTAACAGATTTGATGGTGGTTATGTGAACGAATGAATGAACTAGGATTGTGGAGAGCGTGGGTGAGGGTGTGACCGATCTGAAACCAGGAGATCATGCACTCCCAATATTCACTGGGGAGTGTGGGGAATGCAAATATTGCAAATCGGAAGAGAGCAACCTGTGTGAGCTGCTAAGGATCAACAGTGACAGAGGAGTTATGCTGAGTGATGGCAAAACAAGGTTCTCCAAAAATGGACAACCCATTTACCACTTTCTGGGAACCTCCACATTCAGTGAATACACTGTTCTT